TACCTCATCAGAAACATACCTGGAACTGTATTTTGTTTCATTGACATGTTTAAGTAAATGTTTATTATTTGTTTGAAATTATTCAAATCTAATGAAGGTGTTTACAGTTTTAAAACATGGCAGAGCACTTCCTGTATTACCACATGACATCACAAGGTGGAACAAAGTGTTTTCTGTTTGAGAGAAAAACAATACATGCGTGAATGAAACAAAACACAACTCCAGGAATGTTTTTGATCAACATTATAACATAGATCAGAAAATGAAGTAATATGGGTCCTTTAAACACAGTATGAACACAGTGGCTTGGGGACTCAAGGTTTTGTACTTTAAATAAATGATAAAACTCAAATTTGCATGAAAGCAGCAAATCAGAAACTTGTCTTTTATTAACCTTTGACCAGAAGTGGCAGTAGAAAACAATGAGTAAAAATATTTTCATCTCAGCAGTAGGCTATGTAATAGTACAAGTATTAATAGTGGTATAAAGTGCAGTACAGTGCAAAGTACCAGCAGAAGAAGTATAGTAAATTGTGTTTTTGAAGTATAATCTTGTTATTTTTCTTCTGTTTTTAAGGCTCTGCAACATTTTAACCTTACATGAATGACCTGGAGTTTAGATTTCCTCGAGAACTGCAAGTTAAGAGTGGATTTTTTTTTTTAACTCTTAAGGCCCAAATACAGAATAATATAAGAGTAGGAAAACATGAGAAACTATAACAGCTTTAAAGTTTTTGTGTCACTTGTCTCCTTAAAGTCCCGCTCCTTTGTTACAGTATTTGTTCTAGTTTTGTTCAATTTAAACTTCCTCAGATTTGTGAAGTGTATGGTATGAGAGGAGACCATTTTTAGCCCTGGTCTGAAGCAGGGACAGGAGCGGGACATGCAGAGGAGAGCAGTCTGTCCCATCTGACCTCCTGTTCACATCGGTGCTTGTTAAAGCCAGCCATCTGAGTCCTGGATACTTCAGCTACCACTGTTTATAATAAGACTTTCACATCTGCCCTCCCACTGCCCAGTCGGCTACAGTAACACTTTACATGTACACCACCTTTCTTATTGAGCTGAGTGGAGATACTCAATGCTGTTCATTATTTACTAGTCACATTGTCATACTAGCACATGCATAAATTGAAACTAAATTGATTGAAACAAAACTGAACAACAAAAAGAAGTGTTGTCTTTTAATAGTCTAATTTCTTTCCCATTGTCTGAAAGCAAATAAAAGTGCACAGTGCAACTTTTCTTGTATAGGGTCTGGTTCTCTCCAAGGAGATGTTATTCCTTTGCGTGGAAGCTTCCACAGTATGGCATTCATCTTATCTATTTCTGTGGAGACAGACAAGTGATTCCACAGGACCAAGTTACAGGTCAGATATATGAAGAGGCGGAACATCACATTTTGTGTAATACTTTAAATACAAACCCTTTTCTTACTTTTTTGCCCTCTTAGCAAAACTCATAAATCAAAATGTGACAAGTGCAAATGCAACTAAAGAAATCAGTAATGTCTGTTCGATGTCCATTCATTTTTCATGTCACTTTAATTTAAGGAGGGTCAAAACCTTTTCAAATGCTATAATTATTTTGAATATCTTTGTCTGAAGTTGTAGCAGAGATTTTCAACCCACGATTAATCATTGCAATGAATTTACACCTTTTAAAAACCTGAAGTTACGCTATGTCATGTGCATAGTTACACTTTCTTTTCTATCAGTTCATCATGTGAGTTTGACCCATAAACATGATACAATTAAAAACACCAGGATTTAGAGAAATATTGTTGGGTTTTTTTGATAGAGATTGTAGCTGTGGGTGACAGGGACATGGGGAACTGTACAGAAACGGTCTGACACGATGGGATTTCTTTCATAGCTCACATACATGATATAAAGGCTTTGGAACATGCAAAGAAAATTAAACTCTATACTACAAGACAAGTTTAAAGGTCATTATGTGCAGTACAAACATGCAACAAGCAAAATTTACAGTGTATGTTTTGGATGGTAATAGAGCATATGGATGTTTTTTACCTATTATAAAATTGTGAATTATAATTTTTATTGTAAACATTTATAATTTTACTCATACAGTGCTATTGTGTATTATGGTTAAAGGGGACTATGCAAATTTTCTGTTGGAGGGTCAGCTACCTGCTTGTTTCCATGGAGATATCATTGCTTTACCTGTAATTATGCCTTCTTATAGTGAGCGTGTGTGAGAGCGTCGCCTCTCCACAGAGATGACCTGTATACTGGCTTGATAGTGTCGCTTGTCTCTGTGGAAATAAAAACATTTAATCTCATACTGGGCATTTCAGGCAAAACAATATAATTTTCCATGGAGACAAGTAGATGATGCACTCTCAAGCAGAAAAGTACGTAGTGTACCTACATATTATATATATAATCTTTTATATGTTTGCACCATTCACCAAAGAAAAAAAACACATTTCTGAATCCTGTTTTTTGTTATAAATTTATAAATCTTACAATACTATTTACAAGTTTTGTGTTCTGGAAAAACATTTACAAATCATTTTTTCATTTGTTGATATATTTGTTGTTCTGAAAGAATACATTTGTACAAAGAATACTGATTGACATCTAAAGTGATGCAATCAGGATGTCCATATTTGGTCCCAAACCAAAGCAGCTCTTTTAAACTGCATTTCGGAAATAGAAACATGAGCAGTGTTTGAAGGAGGGCTGTTTCCTGTCTTTATAACATGGCCTTTTACCTGAAAGTGACAAACACGATCAGAGCCACGCCGCACAAAAGATCACAGGGGACTAAGAACAGCTTTGTCCAGCTTTCATCCTATAAACAACATCTTTTGTAATGGATTTTATGCTAATTTCATCCGGATGAAAAGTACTGTCTTTGAGGTGCGCGGTAGCAGAGTGGTTAGCTCTAATCCATATCTGAGTCATCGGTTCAAATGTGATACCATATAGAGCATAATCTTTAAGTGGATCTAATTTGACACAAGGAATTAATGGTAGAGTCATCTCTTAGTTTATTTACTATATTATAATAAAGGTGCACTGAGTAACTTTTCTGGTGGAGGCTTGTCTCCATGGAGATGTTGTTGCTTTGTTCCACAGTATGACATTAAATATATTTAATGTAATTAATTGTATTATGGGTGTTTGTTCCTTAGCTTGAAAAACACCCACTGGAGCTGCTTCGACCTGGGACTTGTTGCCTTGAAATTTGATAAGTTTAATGGCATATTGTAGAACTTTCTAAATAAAGTAATAACATTTCCAGTATGAAAAGACAAGTTATGCACATCTAGAGTATATTATTTTGTACACAATGACTAGCCTACCTGTTTATATCAAATATTTGAAGATTGTAGAGCACCTATTTCTGCTTATCCCTATTAATTGATTGATCTTTGCACTTTGTTACTCTGGTCAATACATCTTGTGAATTGTGTTATATAGGCTCAGAAGTTCCTTGTAGAGGGAATCACATAAAAAAGCAACTTGAGAGCAGATGAGTTTCCTCACACATTTCACAGCAGACACAGGGTTTCCATAGTGATCATATGTTACCAAGAAGTTGCTCCTGCTCAACATGATTTGTGTTTTACATTTGAACAGAGAGCAGTAACTTAACACAGATTTCATTCATGCAACCTTCAAGCTTCAGAAATAGACCTGTTAAGGTAATTTATTTGTATTGAATACCCCGCTGTTTGAATGGGTCATGCAGGGGGCACCACAACTAACATAAATAAAAACAGGAGCAAACACCTAAATAAAAACGATTTCCATTCAAATCAACTTTGGCTTTTTTAATCTGAGTTTTGTTTGACTTACATTAAATCAAATATCACCAGTGTTGCCTACACTGGGGACTTCACTAGTGTATTATAGATCCATAGTTTGAACTGTTTGGTGCAGGTTTTGATCAAACTTAAAGTTAGACTGTCCTCTAGTGGTCATAAAAGAATACTACACAGAACAAAATTAAACAAATCAAAGGTTGTATAAATATCTTTGTTTTACTGAAACACGACAGTATAAAACAAACAATGCAGTATTGCACTGAAAGAGCTGCTGTGACAAATATCATGGCATTTTTGACCAGAGATAAAGGGGTTGAGCCACTGTCTCTCGTCGAAAAAAACACCGAGGCATACAAAAACTATAATAACAGAAAAGCATAATAGATAGGAATAAGAATAATATGCGTTTCCCTGCACCGGAGTTACTTCAGTTAATATTAATCGAAAACATAAACACAGTTAATCAAAACAAAAGCAAAGAAAAAGTCATGCTAGCAGAGGATGGTTTCGATCCATCGACCTCTGGGTTATGGGCCCAGCACGCTTCCGCTGCGCCACTCTGCTGCACGAGCAACTTCAACCGCAGTCATGATATTTCAAGTCTTAACGCCCTGGGTGTTGGTGAAGAATTTAAGTCCTTTGGTGTGATGAGCACCTGTACGCCTAAGTTTTGATCCAGTGCAGCTGTTAATTTCTAGGGTAATGTGTATTGTGAAAGTGTTTCGAACAAGTACTAGTTTTAGGTAATAGCGGCAGTGGGTAGCAGCCACTTTCCTTCATGGTTTGCTCTGCCCCCATAGCCTTCATCTACTGCTTTTTTCCTTGTGGGCCAAATACCATCAATAATGAACTGCTCTTGCCCCCCATAGGGAAGAATAACATCACCAAATCCTAGAATCCGAAAACCATTGATGTTTTTTAGATTTTGTAATGTGGTAATGTCCTGCTCCCAGATGTGAGCCAGAGCCTTTGTACTGTACTGCAATGATATATTCACAAATGTTGAACCTACCTTATCATTTGTTATTAGTGCCTGGGCCCTATCTGCATTTTAACAATGTCTTTCACCAGAATGTTTGAACTGAGGTTATTATGACAAAGGTTTTATAAAAAAAAAAAAAGATAAAACATCTGTACAGAAAAAGCTAGCAATTATGTTTCAAATTAAGTAGAATGTCGTACTAAATACAAAGACAACAGGTTTGCTTTTCACAATTTATTAACAAAATGATAAAATAAATAAATACAAATTGATCAAATGCTCCTAATATCAACGCCTCCCCATGTTCCCTACAGTATTTCCTAAACACTGCATACAAAGAATTCATCATCACAGAATAGGCTCAATACAGAGAGGTAAGAATCCCACCAGACCAGTCACAATGTCAGGCCAACAGAAGACACGTATTGAACAAAAAAAGTCAAAAAAATAAACAACATTCCTTTCCAAAATCATTATGAAAAAATACAAACAATTATACAAATATTAAGATTGTGTAAGTACCAAATTACACATTATTCATCAGCACACCAGGTGAACGTAGTTTCTTTTATTCATATCGCTACAATGCATCTCACCAAAAATGGAAGATTAAAAAAGATTTCTTCTTCTTCTTCTTGTTTGTTATTTTTTTTTTATATTTTTTTGCACTCAACACACCCCCCAAAAATGGATTTTAGCTGTGGATGAGGTAAGAAGCTTGGGATTATGGGTAAAATCAAATTGCTAGACTCCATATAATGTCATGGTTTACAATACTTAGAAGGCCACAATCATGACTTTGAACAAAATAAAAAATAAAGTACTTTACAATAGGAATTTCCACGTAAAAAGATGAACCGTTTGGAATGCATATAATAATAAGACTGAACACAAAATGGTCCGTTTCTGTCTCGCAAGCTTTCAAAATGATATGCATCAACTACAAAAGGCGTTGGAAAAAAAACCTAAAAATGCACAGATTTCTTTGGATAGATCACTTTTAGAGCCTGACTATTAAGAAATGTATAATTTACTATTACAATGACGTACTGTTCATTTTTTTTTTTTTTTACAAGAAAACTTGATCTAGCCCCGCCTTAAACATTCAGGATGGTGCATACACCAAATTAAAATGAAAAGTTTAAGATTTTACAAATTTAGTAGATGTGAAGGGTTAATTATTAGTCGCAATGGTTGATCGGCGTAGTTTGGGTCAGCAGACAGGAGCAAAAGAGCAGTCTAGACATTCAGTATGTAATCATTGTTTTGCATTTAAAAACAAGTGCAATATAATACACAACTGTGAGATTTTGGTACACACTTCAATATGGCCAGTAACCTGTGAATGTTAATGATAAGAAAATGTACATGAAGTTTTATTATGTAGTCCACAGAGTAAAAAAAAAAAAAAAAAAAATCATAATTTCTTTTGAATCTTTATTGCCTGGGATCCAGAATACACAATTCTCTAACATTTTATGAAGATGTGAGTCTGGTCACTGGTGAATCTCACCTGAGATCAGATGGGCGTGACTGACACGTGGATTAGCCAATCAGGGACAAACATGATCTGACCATATCACAACAAATATGGCCACTTCCAAGGAAAAAAAGTGAGGCAAGATATATGGGAATTTGTTTATAAATGATAGGTGACCAATTAGCTCCTTCTTATTTCATATTAATCTGACTGCACAGACATGTATGGTCCAGGCCGGTATTTCAGCTTTACAAAACGCATCATTGTTCCTGTCTGCTTTCCCAAATTTCAAAATAAATTAACCTTATGAATTTTACTTTTACAAAATGCCATACTGTCCCTTTAAGGAGCTAACTGTCTCCTAATCCTTCTGTAAAGCATCAGGATAAAAACACAAAGATGGCTACTGCACGTCTTTAAAATCCCAAAACTGCACAATTTTTGGCTTTAGGATGCCAAAGAAAAGGTTACTTTAATTCCACATAAAAAAATTAAAATAAAAAACAAATGCATATCTTAAAAATGTTTTGACAAATCTTGTATAAAATTTGCATAAGAAAAGGCATGCTTTTTTCCACTGGACTAATTCTGCCCACTAGATGTTGTAGTTTAATTTGTTCATTTTTTTTTTTTTAATTCACACAGGCTCCGGCTCACGTGACCTGATTTAGCAAACTCACCCAAAATCAAACAACATGAAGGGGAGGATTTCAAAATAAAAGTCCTGACACCTCACCTCACTCACACTGAACTGACAACACTGTAAAAATGAAGACAATGGAAGCAGGTTACAATATGGCAGAGACAAGCAATAGATTTATAGACAGAATTAATGACAATGTTATGGACTGAGTGCAGTTAAACTTTATAATAGCTGCACTTAATTAATTAGCCTTAATAAAAGCATAAAGAAAGACAAACTGTTTATTATGAATGACTCGTTTTTTTGTTTTTTTGTTTTTTCTCCGATTCTGTTTTAAGTAAATGCATCCAGAAGAATGACATATGAAGCAAATACATGACATGTATTTCAAAACATGTTTGTACAGAGCTAAACTACAGGTTTAGTAGAATTTTTTATATTTTTTTTGTTTTGTTTTTATAAAGAATAAGATGGAACATTTTGTTGTTTGGGAAGGAAGTTAGCATACTTCAGAAATCGCAGTTTTTCGCAACTAAATGCATTGAAACAAATTGCGATTCCAATTTAATTGCAACCTTGCAACCCTTGTGGATGGTTTGTTATCATGGAGATGTTATTGCTTTTCCTAGAATTTTCCACAGTCTGGCATTAACCATGGCTTCTCAACAGAAGCCAGCAGGTAACGGCACCAGGCTAAGTGACACGTCAGGTCTATGGAGAGGATACCCCACTCACGCATCAATGCAAGGTTTCAAGATACAATTCAGCAATAAAAAACATGTGTCAATTAATAAATGCAATAATACCATATTGTGTAATATTTCAGGCAACGCAATAACATCTCCATGGAGATAAGCAGGGGGTCACCATCTGCTTATCTCCATGATGCACTCTTTAGTAGTTTCTAAGCCTCAATCAATATTAGTAAACAGTTTGTTCATTACAAATTAAGTCTTTCTTCTTGCTTATTTAAGGCTATAAATAGTGTAGCTATTCTAAACTGAAAGAACAAAATATGATAACTACTTGGAACTAGGATGTTCAAGTAAACCAATATTAAACTGGGATTATGCAGTTTTGAACCATGCAGATTAAAACCTGGACTAAGGAATGAACAGAATAAAAACAAAATATTGCAAAACATGAATCAACATGTTAAATTATCAAGCAATTTTAATCTGCCATTTTGTAAACCCCAGTCCTCAGAGTTCATTTTTACAGAGATTTAAACACTCTCTGAAAGGATATTTGTAATTTGCTGATGTACCTCGTGACAATAATACTGTTATGAACTAAAAGTGCATCACAAAACAAACTGGCTGTCAAACTTTCCCCAATATTTTTTTTCCTCATATACGCCATCTTTGGAGCATACTGTCTTTATATTATGACAACCATTTTCCCCCGTCCCTATGTAGAAAACTAAAAATAGGAACAAAAATAAAACACATTAAGGCATTTAAAACGTCTATTTTTCATTACAACAACGAAACACTATGTGGTCAAACTAACTGTCATGAAATGCTAGTTGTAACTTGCATCGACTAACTGGCAGCCTGAGGTGTGTGTATAGATATGGGGTTATATTTGGGTAAAGATAAGGTTAGATTTTGTGCTCGTTTTTAAGGGAAGCGACGGCGGGACCATACCAGAAGGGGGCGGTGTGGTTAGTAAGGTTTTTAAACAAGTCACAGTGCAAGTCGAAAGAGACAAATAAGTTTCTGCTGTTTGAAGAGAAAGGCACTCAAGGTACCTACTGTACAGAGGGAGGGAGGTCCTACATGGGTGGACTGGGAACTACGGTTGTTAAGTGATCGAGATTGGAAAACGTTGCAAAAGAAAAATTGTAAAATAAATTCATGGGGCAATTTATTTCAATCTCTGGCTTTAAAATGGGAAAGCGAAGAGTTTAGATATGCATTACAATGATATGGGAAAAGCCATTCAAAATGTATTCACCAGTTTTGATATTGAGAATCCAAATACATAGGCACGCTTTGATGAGTATTTTTTTTTTTTCTAACTAAATACTTTAAAATATACACCTATAATTTTCAATAGCCAATACATCTTGAATGGTTGTTAATTAATAGCATATAAAAGTTTTTTGTTTTTGGAGTAGACGTGTGTAGTGTTTGTGGGCTGATAGCAAAGCAGGGAAGGTCTTTTTTTTTTTAAGATTTGTTGACATATGCAGTATTTATGTACTTGTATAACATTACATTTAGGCATTGATTAGTAGTAAATTAAATACTTTGAAGTATTTCATGAAATTATAATGTATAAGGCCAGCAAAGGCACATTAATAATAGACATACAGAAAGTACTACTACTGCAACTACTAATAATATTAAAGTACTGTATAGAATATGCTGCTAACTCGTATGGGACTACTTCTTATATTGTGTAAATAGCAATTTGCCCATGTAAATATATCTAAAATGGGCACAAGATATTTTAAAGGCAATTAGTAGTGTCATATATTAACACCAATATATATTCAGTAATTTCCCTGTCTTGCTAAAAACCCACAAACCTACAGCGGCATTTCCAGAAACTCCAAACCAAAGCCAAACAGTCTAATGTTGCCAACGTAAAATTCAAAGCACAATCGGAGGCACCGTTAATGGACAGACCAGAGTTTCGTTAATGCCCCAAACGTAACAAGTAGCCACTTCCAGCATCATATTTCAGCCTAGCCATGCTCCTTTGAGAAAAAAATTAAAAGACGAACATTAACAAGCCTAGATTTTCTTTCTTTTTTTTAAGTTTGAAAGAAATTTGGGTTTCCTCCTAGAAAATATTGGCAATGTGGGGATAAGTCACATCACGACAAAGAGATGCATACTCTGCTTAAATCCATATTAACATACAAAAGCTCCTCAGCACTTGTCTGTAATGCAGCAAGCTTGTGCTTTAGTCTCGAGATTTGTGTATCTAGAGTCCATACATCAAATCTCGCCATTTTAAGGACTAAACCGCCATCCTTAAAATTGTTATTGTTGAAATAAGCTCTCCTGTGTCAGCCCAGAGACATCCTTCTATATCTACAAGACGCCAATGATTTTGATCTGTCACTACAGTAAGCGGACTTTATCCCTGCTGAATTTTGGATACAACATCATTTTGGCAGTTCTGGTATTTTTTTTTTTAAACATAAATGTACACAAAGTTCACACCACTTCGTTCGTCCAGCAGGTTTTGTCGGAAACAGAAAAAGCACTTGTTTCTGAAGACTAGGAAGACCTGAATATGTTTTTCCTATAAAAAAGAAGAAACACAGCCCAGATAGTATGTCATTGTGTTGTAGTTGTAGTTGTGGTGGTGTGTGTTTGTTGTTGAACTTTTGCGATATTGCAACTTCACATTTAGTGCTCACAGTTGACACACTGGACTCACAAATGAAACTCACTACACTTTACTTTGACACCAACAACAACATCTGATCGGCTACGTGGCCTGTTCGCCCCGTCCCGCAACCACAAGGAGTTAAAATTGGTTTAAAATTTTGATATAGAATTCAAAAAGTTAGGCTGTTATTCAGTTATCTTATCTTAACCCTATCTATAGGGTTTATGCTTAACAAATTGTATATCAGTAGTTAATTTGACTGCTTAACAAACTTTATAGTAAATTTGACAACAACTTGAACAATTACATTATATTAAAGCATGTCTATTGTCATGTGAACTGACAAATTTGAATCTCTATTTCTTTTGTACAAATTATGGCTCCCAAATACAATAGAATATATGGTTAACATTTAAAAATGTATTTTAGGAGCGGCATAGCCATAGTATTTTGTCTTGCAGAATTTTGAAAAGTAATGGCGGTTCATTTGGACAAATGGGACGAACAGGCATTTCATTTCAGTGGGCTTACTCTATCACAACAACACTGCTTTAAGACCAGTAAGCCCCTCCACAGATGTTGCATGTCATGGAGCTGTATTAAGTGACCAAACTATAGTGGACAAAATGTGGCAATTTATTATTTATTATAAATGATCTTTTTAGCATTTTCTGTAGTGTTTCATCATTTCTCTCATTGTTGTGTAAAAAATATATTGCATCTAAGATTAATCAAATTTACTTTTACATACATAGTTTAAAGTATTAGAAATTGTAATGATGGTTTAAAATTATAACCAATATTTTATGCATGATGAAAAAATTATGAAAAATTGTTGGGTTGTTTTGCTCCTGCCATACCACACTTGTCCACTAGTGTATCCATCTACATGGTTTGGTCAAATACATCCATGTCGCATACTGTTGCTATCGGCGTTTCTTTGTCCCGACAGAACACAGGGGCCACTAGACAGGCACACACTGGTTTGATGTTGGATAAACTCCCTTTGAGTGTTTTTTTTCTCTCCCACCTCTCGACGTCTATCATTAGTTGGCATGACGACACTCAGTGGGCGGAGCCTGCATCGCCCCAGAGTCACGTGACTTGGGCTGTTTATATGATCTACCATTGACACAGTCTGACAATACGATGCAAACGAACAACATTTATACAGATTGGCAACTTCAGGGCACCGATCGGCGCAAGCAAATGTCTTAATTTTTTTTAAATATATGTTTCGAATCCCACAACTCCAAAAGGTGTTACTTGTCAGTGTCCGAACTGCTGACGAGCGCTGGCAAACAGTGCTGGGGGGGTGCTGAGGTTTTGCTGTTGTTGTTGGGAGCCTCTTGGTCGGTTTCTGTAGAGATGAGGGCTGCAGCCATCTTGTTTTCAGAGGAGGGGCTCTTGTTGGAGTTCCCCGTTGGGCTGTGTTCGAGGCAGGCGGGCTCGGACGTCCCGTTAGTTGTGATGGGCACTGCGGGTTCCAAGGGGGTACGACTATCGCCCCCTGGTGGTGCCCCCGTGTCTGCTGTAGGCGGGGCTTCTGTGGTGGTCCCAGCGTTACTCACCTCTGCGGGCTGCTCCTGTTCACTGCTATCCGCCGACGGGACATTGTTCGCCTGCTCTGTCACCACTAACGCTTCAGTCACCTCTGCCACCACTACCGCCTCCGTTACCACGGTTCCCTCCACAGACACAACACTATTGGACATAGCATTGTGTTTCTCATCACTGTTGCCGACATTGAAGTCTGCGGACACGGCCTCCACAGAATTCAGGTTCACTTCTGGTTTCGGTTGGGTCGGGGCTGTGGGAGCAGGACTCTCCTGGAGTTTAGGGGGGCCCTCTTTGGGCTCTTTCTGTGCCTGGTTGAAGTTAAAGGCTTGTATGAGGCGAATCAAGTGTTTGACTTTGTCCAAGGAATGCTGCATCTCTTTCTGTCGAGCCAGGATGCTGTTTTTGGTCTCCATGCATTTCTGAAGGAAGAGCAAAGACATGTTTTAGCATCATTTTTACATTATGCAGACCGCTCCAAGCTACATTTTGATCATCAAGATTATAAATCAGGAAAAGCCACTGTTACCATGCCTCAACATTAGAATTTTTTGTCTGCTTGACAATTAAGCACTTTATTGTTCCCATATCAGGGCAGGCCAATTATTTCAAGGATGAAAAGATTGTGAATCAGCCATGTCTAATAGTTGATGATATAGTGGGAGTTTTGAATCAGGTCCTCTGTCAGTAAAAGCATGTGGTTTGGAACTGATGACTTTGGAGGAAGAAATTGATATTTTGTGTTAAATGGCACTGGTTATCATATTGTATTGTTGCGAGAAAATTTGTCCTCTGCACTTAACCCATCCTTCAATGCTGGCTTGGTCAGGAAAACCTTAGCTGGAGGATTTTTTGTGCATGATTTGAGCTAGTAGCTGGTACATATTTTGAATCCCTTTCTTACTGTTATGGAGTTGCTGAGCTGTTTGACTTTTTGCTCGAGTTGTTCTCGCTCCAGTTTTAGTTCAGAACTCCACTTCATCAACTTCTGCTTCTCCTCCTCTTTAGCTACAGTGCAAAAAAAAATTTTCTTTTAACATTCAGAAAAGGCAGACATGAATACACAGTATATACAGAGTCTAACTATGTTGAAATTACCTTCTTTGTACGCAATGTAGGAATGAACGATAGCCAGGGTACCGGGCCAGGGAATGGCTTCTTCTTTTTTCAATATCTGTAAAAAAGCTTGTTATTGTCACAGCGGGAAAGACTTGGAGATGTTTCAGGACTTAGGTGTCGAGCCCCTCCACACGGTGAGGCCAAAAAAAGGACGAGAATGACGTGGATGAACGTGAGATGCCCATATTTACACAGCAAATGAGACAGAAGCACAACTAAAAACAACAGTGCACTGTGTATCTGCTTACAAAGAATCGAACAGTCCTAGAGTAAGACTTTTCCTAAATCTGCTTTCTTTTACTTTTGTCTAGAATGCACCCAAATCCCTTTCAAGGCACTCAAGAAACAAAAATGTCAGTATAAGTAGCCTCCTATGCCACCAAGCAGTGCAGTATGGTTCAGTTTGGTATAGTACACCACTGGCTGCATTTCCATTGTGATGAAAAATTAGGACTGCTGCCATAGCAAATCACAATTAAAAACAAAATATTCTATCTTCTGAATGGTGAAATACAATCAAAATGTTCTATTACTTTAATCCATATTGGAACAGTACCATCATACATTATAAATGGCTGAGGACAAATTGTGTTTTCAAATTAATCTACATTATGGTCATTATAATAAACATTAAGATAATGAAATACTATTTTTTTTGTCTTGTAATCACTTTTCACTTTCTGTTTTGTGAATATGACAGCTTAGGTTCATAATAAACGTGTTTTTTGTTTTTCACATGCTTTGCAGCCAGTCATTTTCAACTAGTCTCACATATTCCAGCGATTAAGCAGGCTTTTACTGTAAATGTGAGTTACTTGAGATGGACGATAGTATTGCAGCACTAACTTTGAACCTATGCCTGTATCTCAATTCAGCTACATGCCCCACAATAAAAACACAAGCCAGATCAGGTTTTGCCCAGTTGAACTGAACCGAACCAAACTGCTGGGCGTAAAGGGGGCCATTTGCAGCTTCTCATTTACCTGGTCTTGGCATTTTGGACAGATCCACATGCCTTTAGGAATGGTTTTCAAAGGTGGATCCAGGCAGTCGAGGTGATAAACACGAGAGCAAGTGTCGCACATGAGCAACTGTCCACTGCGTCTACACACAGTGCAGAAGTCCTCATGGATGTCTCCCTGTGAGAAGGAAGGGACCATCAGTGTCAGCCACAGCTGCCCGCCACCAGACCTCCAGACCAACGGACCACCAAACCGCAGGAGGCCGGGGCAGGGCAGCGACCATCCCACTGGTTTAGTGCGTTTGTCCTCTGTCTAATGAGATGGTGTGTTAAAGTACTTGTTGTTTAGAGAGGGGTTACATCTTAGGGTTAGATGTTTATTGGAAATATTAAAAAGGAGTGGTATTAATGAACATTTGACATGACTTTATAATGTTAACAGTTAAGAGCTCAAGGGCAGTTACAGTAAGTATTCTCTAATCTCAGCTTTCCCCCAGCTGAGCATATAATTCATGTACTTAGAATGATTTAAGAAGACGAGTACTGTATGTCTGTCTGTGTGTGTGTGTGTGTGTGTGTGTGTGTATGCGCATTGTCCCACCCTGCAGTCTAATCCATTTGATCATTAGTGGTCAGGACACTGTTCACTTTGTAAGGCTGTCTCAAAGTAAAAGCAGGTGATGGTGAATGATCATCATGGAGACAACATAGTGATGGGTGCAGTATGTGGGTGACAATGGTGTGGACGGGACAGTGAGCTGTGGGCCTCTGTGTGCGGTCCTCTCCCTCAGCGGTACTTACATCCGCAGAGCTGGGGCTGGGCAGAGGGAGGGGGCGGACAGGGCTGGAGGGGGAGGTCGGGGTGAGACTGCCCCGCTCCGGGATGCTGCTGTATTTGGGTGGACGACCTGGGTGAAATGACAGACGACAAAAGACGAAAAACAGAAAAAAAAAAGAAAAAGATGGAGAGGGGGAGAGCACAACCGTAAACAATTGGACATACCTTTGAAAGGGAGTCTTCGTTGGCTATGGGGTGGGGAGCAGCAGGAGCGACAGAGGGTCAGAAGCACAGATAGAGTGTTAGTGCAGCAGACTGGGTCATAGGATGAGCCCAGCGCTAACTATAGCAGGAGGCTAACAGGCATTTAGCCATGAAGAACATGGAGAGCAGGGCTTTAAAACACCTGTGAGCTTGAACATACAAATATGGAGTAAAACTTGTATTTAAACAGTGCATTTTTGACCAAAATCAATGTCCAGTCAGGCACAATAAGAGCAACATCTAACTCCAGCTCCTGGAGAACATGCACAAGTTTGTAGGGAGAAGTGCAATAAAGATTGGCTTTCAACATCCCACCACAACTTTATAAAATATTTTAAATCAAATGTCACAAGTGTTTTTAAAACCCAACACCAAGAGTTAATATTGAAATTTAGCTTGTTAAAATAGTTGAATATGTACTAATGACAATAAGTTCTCTAGTGCAGAGGGAATTAGAAAGCAGAAAAGGGGACTTTTTAAAAACATGTCATTAGTATTTCATAAACTAGTAATTCTCTATATATTAAGTACAAGTTATTTCTATTAATAATGATTATTTTTGCGAATCCATTGAATATACATTCCACTCTGCCAGATGTGAGCGGTTCATACAGACCTCTCTTCCTCGTTCCCTGGTGCAAAGGACTGTTCAGGTAACTCACTGCACTCTTTTTCCTCTGTAAAAACACAACACCAGGCAAAAGCTTTACACACAGGCTTGAGTAAAACTTTAAATGGATATATATTTTTTTGTGTTAATAAGATCAAACCTCAGGCTCAAAAACGGCTCCACTGTAAACTGGATTGGCTGTTGTTCGTCGTTTCCGCTCTTGTCGTTTGCTCTGGATTTCTATAACAACAAAAAAGGTATTGGTTTAATTTTGTATATTGTAACTCTATGTAGCCTGTGCTCTAACCATTTTAAGAAGGGTACTACAACCACAAATGAACCTGCACTGTGTCTTAACCTGCAGATGGAGGACACATATATTCCCAGTATATGTACAGGCAATGTCTCATGTGACACTGAAGAAAATCAGAACCAGATTTCAGCATTGAGATTGGCAATCCAAAATGATGAGGCCCATTCTGCTTTCTGATTAGATAATCACCTTGAGAACCACATAATAATATAAATACATTGGGAATCATGTCCAATGTTTCTGTGATTAAGAATTAATAAGCACTGTAGTTGTTATCAGTAAGAGCTATATTTGATTTGAACATATTTATGTTGGTTGCGTGCTTACATAGGTCATATTTATGAAGATCTTCCATCCACTTCCTTTAAAGGTTTGGTAATGAATAAATAAATGCTGAACTAATGAATAAAACCGGACATCTTACCTTCCAAGTGGTCGTGTGTTACGAGGCCTAGCGACACCATGAAAGCCAGTTTCTGTAGAAAAGAAGATAGTTGTAATTCAATATGAACATTATACAGAGACTGAAGCACCCTGCCTACTCAGTACCTCAGGGTTCTCCTCTCTTTTGGGTCTGGGGGCAGGAGACGGAGGAGGGGTCGCAGAGGGCGGGACAGGAATGATGACCTTTGGCTCGGCTGCACTCACTGCTTTAACAGTCTGCTGCAACAAAAACACAGGCATTATTACATCACCTTTTTCATGACAGCTTGTCATGAATGTGTACATTTAAAAGGGGCTACTATATTATTTAGCCAGGAGGCCCCACTGGAATACAATAGCCTGTTGCCATTTTGTGGGACCATATCACACTGCATTTTCACGCTTTCCTTAATTTAGCATACAGTGTAATTAAGTTGTAATAAGTGTGAAATCTAAATCTTTATATACTTTTCTTAAATTTCTAAAATTTCATACATAAAAACAGCTATGAAAGTACGGTTGCCAATTATACAGAATGCTGTATTTCTAGTAAGTATTAGCCGAGTATAAGAATTGTTATACTTCTTACGAGGAATTGGATTTTGCCACGACATATATCTAAGTGTAATAATTATCCACATATTTATGCATATAAAATATGGCTGAAATTAATCAACTTGATGTATTCTAACAATGTGTTTATCAGTGTTTGGAATACTTCTGTACCTTGGGTTCAGCGGTGATGCTGCTGATCTGAATGGGCTGTGCTGTGGCTGGGACAGCAGAGGGAGGGTGGGCGGGGCTGGCAAGGCGTGTAGCAGCAGCAGACACAGGTGTGGTGATCACAATCCCAGTGAGGGGTGTGTTTCCTGGTTTGGCGCAGGGCTGGCCGTTCACAATGCGCACCTGGTGGATGGGGGCGGCAGAGGGCAGCGACGTGGCCAGTTTGGTGGCCAGCATCACAGGTCGCTGCAACAGCTGTGGGGCAGCCATCATGGGAGGAGGCGGGGCCGGGGCGATCGGAACATTTGTGGGCGTGACCGGTTTGGGCCTGACCTGCTGACAATAAAAAGCCAGTCAGAGGGCAGCTCCAGAGCAATGTGACGTTGCTGAGTAATGCTACTGTGGTGCCACTGCATTTAGGCGGGCTCCTCTCTACA